CCCCCCCCCCCCCCCCCCCCCCCCCCCCCCCCCCCCCCCGCTTTCGAATTTCCATGGCCGGGCAATTTTTGGATTTTGATCATATTATCCCCCATCCCCCCACTCGCCGGTGTGACAGGTAATTCTGTCCCCCCTGGTAAATGTGTCCCCCCGGACACATTTACCGGCTCGTGACCCAGTAAATGTGTCCGGGGGGACACTTTTACCTAGGTAAATTTGTCCCCCTCCAGGTAAAAATGTCCCCCTGCCCAACGGTGAAAGTGTTCCCCTGGTAAATGTGTCCCATGCAGTATGTACTGAGAGCAGCAGCGTGTCGCACGCGCCAGTACATGCTGCAAGATTTGAGGTAGTGATTATAACATGTGTATATATGCGTCTCCCTCTACAATGGAATTCGTCCAATAGGAAATTTCGTTACGCGCTATGATGGGAACACAGACCAATCCAAGGAGACGTTGTATCATACTATCAATGAGACGAGGGCCATCGCCATGCATCGCCGCTGTGTTGACCTATCGCGGTAGAATCGCGATAGACTTCACCGTACTCTGAATCGAAACATTGTGTTCACGTATCATCTAGTAGACTAAATTAAATATTTTTTATATTCATGAAGGGCAGACTAAAAGTCCAAAATGTATACCTTGTAGAGTGAATTCATCAAAACAATAACCTTCCGGGTTTCAAAAGAGGGGGACAAAAAAACCTGGGGGACAGAATTACCTGGAGGGGACAGAATTACCTGGAGGGGGACAGAATTAACGGGCCAGGGAGGACACTTTTACCTAGGTAATTCTGTCCCCCCGGACACTTTTACCGCGGGGACAGAATTACCTGCCACACCGGCACAGATTTACGCCACAGTGCAGGCAATGAGTACACCACCATCTTTTCCTCAAAAACATTGGTTAAAGTGGTAGTGGTCACGTCAGAAATTGCCTCAGATCGCAGCACAGAGCATTTAGAATCCATTTTTTTCGGGGCACTTAACAGCATAGCCAAACAAAAACTACGAAAAAGAACCAAAATGTGTCCAGATTCGAACCGGGGATCAGGATCGATATCTGGTGTAATGAATATGGACGCTACGTAATTATTTCAACATGTTGACCAAAACCTCCTTAAGAGAGTGGTAGAAATCGTAATTATTTAATAAGTGCGGATATGTCAGGAATAGTCTGAACACATAGAGCGTCTGATAAAAACACATGATTTAAATTACCTCTCCAGTTTACGTATCATTATTTTGAGCGACCACACAAAATATAGATAGCCTTGAACCACGTCTATATACCCACACGTAGCTCGTGTTTCAACTGCCACATAACACGCATGCCTTATCGGCGCTCCATACTGATACATGATATCAGACAGTGCAGTTAGTTGGAGTTAAGCTCGTAAAGTTTATTGTCCAATATTGAAATATATTTACTGTGAAATTTGTCCCACTTAAACAAGCTTTGAGTATGGGTATGTTTATCGTAATGACGATGCTCATTATAACTAGCCAAGTAGTATGCAAGAGAACTGATGGTGGTAATGGAGACCAAAGTTTAGACGATCGTGTTGAGAGGCCTGCTGCGACTGCCACATGTACACAGACGACGGGGGTCAAGATGGAGTTACCGACAGTTTTCATTCCGATCTTGGCAAGAAACAAGGAACACACTTTGCCGACTTTCCTCGGTTGTTTGGAGAGTCTTCGATATCCAAAGAACCGTATCTCTATTTGGTAGGTAATCTGAGTAACTTTGGACCCCACAAATACCTTTTAATTTGTGGACATCCTCTCCCCCCCCCCCCCCGCAGAAAAATATGGATTGTACACAATCTACCCTATAGGGATGTACACAATCCACTTGTCATGTGTGGATGAACATGGATTACAAAGTGCAATTACTATGTACATGTAGTGTAGGCCTACATGCATCTTACATTGCTTTTTATTGCTGAAAAATGACTTTTCAAATGAGTGAATTTAAGACAGAAATAATCAGCGGCTCTTGCATTGCCTTCTGTTATTGCCTTCTGTCTGAGCCTGCTCCGATGGCAGGCAGAACCAATTCAATTTGCAAAGAGTTTTTTTGGAAATTGAATGCCGCATTCAATATGGGCATTTTCCATTTTTCAATATCGTCCGCTATCTTGGATCTGTCAAAAAAGAACAAGAAAAAAGTGCCAGCATCCTCATTATTTCAAAAAAGTTAAGACAAGTTTTATTTTGATTTGGCCTAACTAAAACTAGTAGAAGGCACCCATATGACTTCTACTGTTCTAGTTCTTGAATTAAACTAAACAGAGCCTAAGGTGAAATACTGTACCAAACCAAACCAGCCTAAACTTATACAGTACATTTTCTCACTACATTTCTCATTAAAGTTACTGTCTTTGTTTTTTAATAATAATAATAATAATAATAACGGGTTCTTATATACATGTAGCACTTTTAACTAAGATCAAAGCGCTTTACATTATTATTACCCCTAATCATTGGGCCAATTAAACATTCCAAATACCATCTCAGTTCCTTGGGGAGTATACAGCTCGATGTTCCCTGTTAGGTGCAAGGAAGCTGATTCAATCACAATAACCATCTCTGCCCTCACAGGTACCCATTTACTCCTGGGTGGAGAGAAGCAATGAGTGACAAAGTGCCTTGCGCAAGGCACTTTGTCACTCATTGCTTCTCTCCACCCAGGAGTAAATGGGTACCTGTGAGGGCAGAGATGGTTATTGTGATTGCCCAAGGGCACACGCACCATGACCCCAGGCTGGACTCGAACCACAACCTGCAGCTTTACGTGCAGACCGCGAATCCAATGCCCTTAACCACGAGGCCACAGTGGCTTTTTAAGTCACTTCTGTCTTATGTTATTATTTTTTTCAGGATTCAAACAGACCACAATATTGATAAGAGTGCCGCTATGCTACAAGAATGGTCAGTAAGGCACGGTCCTTATATCACCGTGTAGATATCGAGGTGCAAAACGAACCTCAAGCCTTCGATTGGGAGAATAGTCCAAGTGATTGGCCCGATGAACGATACGTGCATTTGATCAACCTGAGACAGAAAGCTTTAGATGAGGCCAGATATCAGTGGGCAGATTACCTATTAGTGAGTACATATTTTAAATGGTGTCTTTCAGATATTAATTTTACATACAAATATAAACATACACAAATACTGTGTCCTTATTGTAGGCCTACCTATCTCTCACTGACTGACTTTGCAAACATAAAAAAACGAAATGATCACATTATCACAAATACCTTACTGGATTGTTAGGGAACAGTCTAAAGCATCCTGTAAAATCGTAGCTCATGGTATGCTGACATTGTCAAGAAAAGTTGTATTTTTCCAACACTGGTCGGCCGACTAAAATTGCTGAAATTACTGAAATTGCTCAATCTGTTCAAAGAATATCACCATTTAAACGCAATGACCTTAAAACCTGTCACGTCCAATAAAAGTAATTTATTGTGTGTCCTTACTGTTTAGAACAACAAAGAAAATGACACAGAATACTTGTTTCAACAACTGTCAACAACTGTAGTACACAATATCTTTATAAACAACCCTGGTTAGGCAAACAATATGATTTATAAAATCCACTTTTTTTAAAAGACGGGCCTTCGAAAGGACTTTGATGAATATTTTTAACTTTTAAACTGAGGTTTTATCGCTTGTGATGTTTGAAGACAATTTTGAAGACGATTCTTGCAATCGCATTTTTGGACGAAAGAGATTTTAGGGTCATTGCGTTTAAATGGTGATATTCTTTGATCGGATTGAGCAATTTCAGTCATTTTTTCATCTAAAAGTAGCTTGTGAAATTGGCTTTCCAGTCATTATTATTTTTGGCGCTACAAATTTTAAAAATATGAAATGGGTTTGGGTTCCGCTTTTTTTGACTCACCCTGTATAAAGTTTGGTATTTTTTGTCTTGTTAAATCAAACACTGTGTTGTAGGCAGTTGATGTGGACAACTTCCTGGAGAATCCCAATGTCTTACTGGATCTGATGGCGCAAGGGAAAACGGTGATCGCCCCGATGCTCAGATCAACCAAGATGTACTCCAACTTCTGGGGAGGAGTCAACCATCAGGTATGAAGTCTATCATTCTGGTGCAAATTGATTTCTTCATACATGATACAAGTTTGGAGCTGTTAGCAATAGATTGGCCCAGTAGGCTCCGCCCATTGCGCGCACTCGTGAAGCATGATATGTGCCTTTGCAGTGCTACACCGCATTTTCCAGCTGCGTACATCATATGCGCGTGCATGCATCTCAAATTTGTGTGCATGCATGCCAGACATTAATCACAGCTGTGATTGGTCAACCCACCACTGGACAGGGCTCATGGATTGGTCTATTGTTGAAATGTCCACAAAAGACAGTAAAGCAGGTCTGAAAATCCACATAATAAATTTTTTTTGGGGGGGGGGGGGGGTGGGAGGGGGCAGGAAAAGTTAAATAGCACTTTAACCCACCCTAATCCCCTAGGCCCTTTTTGCTTAGAAGCATCCTCAATCCTCCAAAATCCTCCAAAATTTTGCAACTCCGCCTAAATTTTTCAAAATTGTCAGACAGTCCTGCCTCAAAATGCATTCATCGTCAATCCTCCAAAATCCTCCTCATCCCAAAATTTTGCACTCGTGTTTAAATGAAGGATAACCAACGCCAAATCCTTCAAAATCATCAGACAGTCCTGCCACAAAATGCATTCATCCTCAATCCTCCAAAATCCTCTTGTGCTTCAATCACCATTCATCCTCAATCCTCCAAAATCCTCATGTGCTTCAATCACCATTCATCCTCAATCCTCCAGAATCCTCGTTTGATTCAATCACCATTCATCCTCAATCCTCTAGAATCCTCCAAAACCGCCAGGAGGATTTTGGAGGAGTGAGGTGGGTTAGGGTTTAAGGACTTGCATTACTCCGTACGATGTATTGCAACGTACATTGTATTCTCTTCAGTGAAATTGGCTTGGTATCGGTGGTTTGGGGCAGTACTGGGACCAATGTTATTAATGCCAAACAAAGTGAATTTTGTGTTTACGGTAACCAGACCTACCTGGAATTTTTGTGGCCAAATTGCCTACCTCAAACTTTTTATTGCCATTTTGCCAAAAAAGTAGTACACATACATGGTTAATGAGTCTCTAACATTGCAAAAGAACATGACTGCATGCATGAAATGGGATGAAGACAAAAAAATGACAAAACAAAATTATTTTCCCTCACTACCTACATGTACATGTACAGTACCTGGATTTTCAGGCCGTTACCGTAAACACCATTTATTTTGTTTGGCCTAAAGTTAAAACTTGCATGAGCTTTTGTCATCAGCTTCATGAGATGCATTGAAAAGAAATATGCATTTGTACATGTTATTGTATACGCAGTCTGAGTCGGTCTTAAATAAAAGATGGGGATGTATGTAAGTCACTGCTATAATATATGGCCCTCAACCAATGCGTTCCAGTCTGGATTATAGTTTTTTTCGGCTGCAGCTTCCATCCATCCTTCCTTGTAATAAGTTGTTTGTGAATTTCCAAGGGTGGATGTTTACGGTGGCTTGAACCATTCCCCTCTGAGTCTCCGACTGACCAATGTTAATTTTTTATAATGGATAATATCCCAACTTAAAGTTATTATAATGATAATCTTGTTAAGGCCCCCCCCATAGAATAGTTCTGCTTCCGATTACATGGCATTCAAAAATAGGGTAGGTAGGGAATTTTTTTTTTTGCCAAATTTTTGGTGTACGATCATATGGAGGCGTCTGCATGTAGTCAAGGGTAAAAGGTAGAAATTGATGGTTTTGGGTGTTTTTTCCCCTCATTTTTCCAATAAAAAAAATTAAGGAAGGGGCTGTCAGAATAGGGTAGGTAGGGAAACCGGAAGCAGAACTATTGTTTTTTTTGGCCTAATCAATAGTGCAAATCCTGAATCATGGCTTCAGGCCTTTGGTCATTTTATTTGTTGACTGCTACAACCACCCCCCCCCACCACCTTTAAAAAATCCTGATGTCCTCTTGTGCTGAAAGTGAGTTAGGCTGTACAGAACAAGACATGTTTACTGTGAGCATTTTAAGCTTGTGGTACAAGTTACGCATGGAATTTTCTGGATTGTCACCAATGTAATTACATTGTGCTACTGTCAAGTTAGTGGACTTTTCCCCAAAGCCAATGAAATCAAGAGAGACATCCAGGAAAGCACATTTCCTGGACAGTCCAAAAAGCGAGTCCAGTCCAGGATGGACCCGTCTGTCCCCTTAACTTCACCGTCAAATCTCTCTATCACAAGTGAACACGCATTTCCTTGGCAAAATGTTGACGGGACCTTCCATGATGCCAATGTTTTCAATCATGGCAGGCATGACAAGCATTATCAAGTGGAATGGATTATCTGTAGTGGTTTTAATACATCATCTGCTATTACTTAAATATCTGAGGAATCAGGATCATTAAACGTCTACAGTATCATGTGAATACTCCTAGTCTTGCCATAAAATAAAGCATAAAATTTGCTGTGAAACTTTTTGTCCTGGCCAATTAATTTAGTGCTTTAGAAGTCCTGTTAATACACTGGAGGTTTACTGAACACTTTGATTTACTTGCTAACTCTGTAGTGTCCTTTTGCTAGGATGCAACCTCAATCCTGCAAAATCCTCCTATTGCCTCCATGTAAAAATTGCATACAGCCTCAATCCTGCAAAATCCTGAGTTGTTTCTTGAATGTGGTCCTCGGAGGAGTGACCACTGCCTCAATCCTGCAAGATCATCCAGCAATCACTGTCAATACATGTATGTGATGTGATCAAGCTAAATGAGTCGTTTGTTGGGAACCTTCATTTGGAGATTCAGGCCAAAATAGGGCCACTTTATCACATCACCTAATCACATCTCTTGGTGTTCCGACTTCCATAATTTTGAACTAAAGATGGTATCAGCATGCATTTTTCACATCAGTAATGTTGAGATTGTGCTTTTTTCAAATCTGTAATAAAAAAAATGACCAGGGTCGACAAACGACTCATTTAGCTTGATCGCATCATATATGTTGATGCAGAGCTAGTGACATCCTGGAGCACTGCGGAGGATTTCAAGTATAAAGTAGGCCTTAACTTATGCACGGTTGAGCATAAACAACACAAGGTCGGGCCTAAGACCTTGACACAGTGCATCCTGCAAAATCAACCACACATTTTTGCCATGTAGCCTCAATCCTGCCAAATCCTCCATTTTGCAAAGAGGATTTTGGAGGATTTTGGAATAATAAGGTGAATTAATGTTGACAGGGCTATTTATAATTGTTTTTTACCCACTAATTCTACATTTTCAGTCAAAACCTACTTTTAATATTCTTGTTTTTTTTCTCTCTCCAGGGATACTACAAAAGGACAGAGCAGTATATTGAGATATTGAAAAGAAATATTACTGGTGTTTTTGAAGTCCCCATGGTACACTCCACATATCTGATCAATCTGAAACATAAAATCTCTGCTCAGTTAACATACGAGCCTCTGCATGATTTTACTGGTGACATCGATGACATGATGACTTTTGCCTACTCAGCCAAAAAAGCAGGTACATGTACATGTATATGAATATCCGTGAAACTTATCCTCCGTTTTGGTAGAGCAACTAGGCTTTGCTTCGCAGGCAAAGTGGCTTTGCGGGCCAGTCACCCATACATTGGTGTAAAACAACTTCAATCCTGGACTCCCTATTGTCCCTCTTTTGTTTGTACTTAAACTTGTTAGGAATACAGCCCATATGTTTATAGTGTAGTGGGGATTTGTGCTTTATAGTGTAGCAGTGATACTTATATGCACATGTACCACCAACAAGGGCAAGTGAATGCGTGTTCACAAGTACCCCTCACCGGCAAAGAAAGTACAGTTGGGGGTGACCGAATGACGCCATCTTGCCTGACTGCAATATTTTCCCGCGAAGCGCGGCCATTGCGTGTACATCATTATATGGCTATGGTATACATAGTACAAATCCCCTGGTGTACGTGCGTCACACACAAGGAACGGTGCGCACGCGTCAACCAGCGAAATGTATGTGTCCCGCCCATAGGACGTCGTTGCTAGGTAAAAGGGCGCCCTCTTTTGTTAGCGCACGGAGCCCATAGCGTGCTCACTTCATCTTTACTGTGCATCAAGTTTTCTTGAAGATATATCTGTTATCCCACTTGCACCCTTGGAACATGGACAAATGTTGTGTGTCTCTATTCTGTATCCTACTGGGCTGGAACATAGAGGTGCTACATTATTCCATGTTCCACTCACGCTCGCGGGATAACTTATAGTGTACATGGTTTGCGTGGATTTTTAAATAAAAAAAAAAGAGAAAGAACATTGAATAAGCCAGTACAGTAGTTCAACTGTGCATGCACACAATGATATCGGTCATGGGTCATTCGGGATAATCAAACGCTCATCGAAGGTGCATGAACACGCAAGGAGACTTTCACGAGATGCTTTTGCGTTAATTACAAGCATTAAAGCATAATGGGCATTCCCGTAACATCGTGTCAGTGATTTAATCCTGAATAACCTTTGACCTGGACTACTTCATCGAAATAGGGAACTGGCTTATTCAGTCCATGTACGGGTACTCCAAATTAGTTTTGCAAAATTGGTGTTTTGCCATGTTAGGACTCATCTCACTAAATATCCGGGGTAAATCGCAGAAACATTTGACCACAGTAGGCCCGTACATTGAATATTTGTTGCAGAATTCTTAACAACTTCCTGGGAATCTTCCCATAGTGAAGTTATCAGTTTGTGAACAGTGCTGACAACTTCATCACAGGAAAATTTCGGGCAAGTTGTTCAGACTCCTACAACTAATTCCAGATACAGTGGCCCTATTGTTGCAAACTTTTCTGTAGAGCTTCCAGGATATTTTATAAGAGGACGACTTATTTACATGTATCACATCTGTTCCCTGCTGAAATGTTTGTTGATTTTCTTTTCTCTTTTGTATGCAGGAATACCATTTTATGTAATGAACAGCAACTATTATGGATGCATGCTGATTCCATTGGCTGCTAAGAAGTCGATAGAAGACGAGAAAGAAAAAATGCTGCACCTGCGTTTAGAATCCATGAGTAAGCTTACGTCTTAAGACTGTTGTGATGTAGTCTGGTCCCAGAGGGCCAGCCAAGTGTCATCTGTGTACCTATCTGACTGACTGACTGACTCCCCCGCCGAAGAGAGCCGGGCAGTGCTATCATATAGGATTACCCTGTAATGCCAATTAATGAGTTAAATCCAGCCCATTGCGTAAATCGGACACATGAAAAGACTTCCAGTGAATAGCCATTCTGAATCAATTGAATAGAGTTTTGTGCGCTCTGGGACCAGCCTTACTGGGCTTTCCTTGTATTGTTTAAAATCACTTTATTGTAACTTACTTCGATCGTTTAAAAGCAAAAATTATTTGTGGTACTTGGTGGCTGTTCCAGTGTCAAGACCTCAGTCTGAGAGTCGGATCAGGCTGAGACCAAACGATGTTATGAAATTCAACTTCCTATTCTACTGCTTGAGTGGTTTTATAGCATCTAGTAGTAAAGTAACGTCTTTCACAAGCCAATATGGCCCATCAGGCCGGCGTTTATCTCCAGTTTCAGTAGCATGAAACGACTGAGAATATTTCTACGTTGCATTGCCCCTGGATTAAGTAAAGTGGACGAACCTTTGTTAACAGGAACAGAGTGCCCATCTCTCTTTCGTTAGCGATTGGGCCAGACTCATATGCTGCTGTGGGGGATCGCCACACCTCCTCCACAGCGAGTCTGTTGTCCCCTGCATGAGATGCCAGTCCATCGCAGGTTACTCCCTAATGCCAGTACTCATTTATACTCCTGGGTGGAGAGAGGCATGTGGGGTGAAGTGGCTTGCCCAAGGACACAAAATATGTCCAGCAGCTGGATTCGAACCCCTGACCCTCTAATCATGAGTCACGGACCCTAACCTCTAGGCCACACTCCCCACCAGGCCACACTCCCCTGCTATAGCATCTATTTCACTCAATGCACATACGTAGAGCTTCTACCTTTATATGTTTCCCTATACACTGGCAATTTCACTTGTTAAAAGTTACGACTCCATATTGACTCTGGGCATAAAGTACCACCTCACAAAGAGGGATTTGGGCAGACCACTGTGAGAGACTCGAACGTATTGCTGCCATACGCCTGACGCTCACGCAAAGACGCCATGGGTTTTTGCACACGTAAAACAATACTCATGCTGCATACATCACGCCACATGCACGTGAACCTGGGTGAGCATGCAGTGTGTCTCCCCCACGGTCACAGTGGTCACATAACGCCACCTACTGCTCATACACCGAGGCAATCCGATCCGTTCACAAGTACCCCCTCACCGGCAAAGAAAGTACAGTTGGGGGTGACCGAACGACGCCATCTTGCCTGACTGCAATATTTTGCCACGAAGCACGGCCACTGCGTGTACATAGTACAAATCCCCTGGTGTACTTGCGTCACACACAAGGAACGGTGCCCATGCGTCAACCAGCGAAATGTATGTGTCCCGCCCATGGGACGTCGTTGCTAAAGGGCGCTCTCTTTTGTTGGCGCACAGAGCCCATGGGCCAACTCAATTTGCCTTTCAGCATGACCTTCATCTTAACTTCCACTTTTTTCTTAGCAGCACAACAGGATCAAGTGTTTTTGACACTCCGTAAAAACCTGTCTACTTGTCATTCTGTATTCCACAAACCTGTATTGAGTAATTCTAATATGAATTTTGAAATTGTTGATATATTGCAGTTGATGAAGCAACCATGCCTCTATCAGAATTTGTAACAGTACAACCGAGGCCGCAGAGCAAGCTAGGCTTTGATGAAATCTACATGATTAATCTGAAGAGACGCCCGGAGAGACGGAAACGAATGGTGACAACGCTGAAAGATTTAGGAATCGCCTTCAAAATAGTGGATGCTGTAGATGGCAAGTAAGTGTGTATTGTTAAAAGGTTGTATACAACATTTGCATTTGTTCTAATTGTGTGAAATGGACTGAATTGGGGGCTAGTAATTCATGGCAGATGTCATGTCGCTGACTGTTTTCACCCGTTCCAATGTGATTTACACAGTTAATGAAAAGACCCATTGCAGAGTGCCGGTTGAGCAATTTCCAATGTAATGTGTGGTCCCCATTGGAATGGTTGAAAAACACATATCCTTTTATAATCTGTTACAGTTCTGGTTTGCATGAATGGGTTTCCATGACATTTTCACTGATTATACACGAGTATAATTATTAGCTTCAAGTAAACTTGAATCCTCGATCCTGATTGGTCGATCCATGGCAACAAGCCATGCTACATATAACCATGTAGCACGGCCTCGGTCCATACCACACTCAGCGTATTCCGCTGTTCCAAGATGCGAGCAACATTCCAGCTGCATACGCTAAACTGCTGAATGTCCGTGTAAAGCGTGCTCGTTCCAACTGTACTCCGCGTCAAGTTTCCTTGAAGATAAATTCGTTATTGTGCTCGCGCTTGTGGAACATGGAAAATGTAGTGCGTTTGTGTCCCACATATTCGACCTTGTGGTATGTGGGACACAGAGGTACTACATTATTGCGTGTTCCACTCGCGCTCGCGGGATAACTTATAATATGCTCCATCAAAATGAAATACTCATGTTAGGTACTTTTTGAGAACTTTATCGATATCTGCTTGCACAACTTTTTTTGGGTCACCCTGTATATACCATATAGAATGGGAGTGACAAGACTAACTGTGAGATTTCATAACTGCGCATGCGCACAATGATATGGGTCACAGGTCATTCGGAATAGTCGAATACGTATGAATGCACGCGGAGACAGTCGCACGACACTCATCGCGTAATTACAACCAGAATGGGCGTCCACGTAACATCGCGTATCATCACGTCAGCGATTTTATCCCGAATGACCATTGACCTGGACTACTTCATCGAGATACCAAACTGGCTTAATCAAAACATGTTTTTATTTGTTTCCCAACAGAGCATTGACAGATGATGACCTGAAGGAGTTAGGTGTGGATATGCTACCTGGCTACAGAGACCCATACCATGAGCGTGTGTTGACCAGAGGAGAGATTGGTTGCTTCTTAAGCCATTACTTCATATGGCAGGATGTAAGATGGAGTTTAACTTGTTTGTGAAATATTTGCTAGTTTTACTGTACCACGAAGCAAAGCAGTCAGTATATGTTTTAAAATGCCCCACTCACAGATTTGCTTAATATCTGATTACTTAAACCAAAACTCAATACCCAGTTAATTCTATTTCAATAACTCTCCTGCTATCTAAACAGTCATAGACAGTCCAAAAATCAATCCTCTTCCCCTGCCATGCCTTTTACACGGGCTGGTCACCAACAGTCGGATCATATTTTTGGCAAGTTCTGTGACTAGTCAAATTCAGCCAACAGACAAAAACAGGCAAGCTTTAGGCACAGCTGGCTTATCAATCACCTAAAGTCAGTGCATAGCTGTATCAAGTTACATAAACAGTCACAGCCAGTGAATCCTGCTTTATGTAGGCTGGGAGCTCTTAACTGTTGAAAACAGTCACTTGATTGATTTTGACTGAAAGGACAACTTTGCACAGAATGTATGTTTGCATAGGAGGGTTAAATTAGTTGAAAATGTACCCACACTGTTCCAAACTACCCCAAAGACGAAATGTTTTAGTGGGCACAATACGCGCAATGCGCACACCCGCGTGCACACACAAGTGTGTATTTGCCTGCAATTGGGGACCCCCTATTGTCCCTCTTTTGTTTGTACTCTAACTTTTTAGGAAGACCTCCCATATGTTTTGTAAGCGTTACCAAATTGGGGACCTTCGGGAATTGGGGACCCTATTGTCCTCTATTGTTCAACGCCCCCTATTGAATGCAGAAACAAACTCGTGCACACAGAACTCTTGATGCTGTGTTTGTTTCTATGCGTATACAGTGATATTTTTTTTAGAGCCAGGCAGCCATTGTGTAGTCTCTATAGCTGTACAATGCAAAGTAGTAAAAATAGCAAATACCATGTGTCGCAACATATGTATCTTTAAAAGACATATTTTCCTGTAGCAGTAAAATTAGGTACAACTTTCATTTGATACAGCCCAAAATATATGATTACATTTAATCTCATTGTAATATTGTGCAGTAAATGTATTTGGAAGTATATCTCACAATATTTAAACATGCTTCATTCTGAATATATTTTTTAATGTCAATTCTTCAGGTGGTGAGAAATAACTACCAAAAAATTGTGATATTTGAGGATGACGTGAGATTCAAAGAGTCGTTTCGACCAAAGTTTGATGCGCTGCTTAAAGAAATCATGGCGGAAAAATTGGACTGGGAACTACTGTAAGTATAGTTAAGTTTTTTTATAGTAGGGCAGAAGTTTTGTTGATTCTTTAATTAGTTAATAATAATAATAATATAATAGTACAACGTATTAAGCGCTGGTATCTGGGAATACCTATTCACTGCGCTGAATTGGTTGACTTTACTAAGGAAATAAATATGTGCTTGACTGGTTTTAAATAAGTACGTTTAAAACTGGCTAGGGTCCTGGACACCGATACTCGGCTCAGGCCGTTATCCGCGATTAGGCCGCTAGCTTGTTTTAAACGTACTTGTTTGAAACTGGTCAAGCACATATTTATTTCCATTCATAAATACATTTCGGTCAAAAAGTCAAAAACAAGTCAACAAGAGCGAGTGCACACTAAGCTCTGGCCGCCTGTCATGAAAGTCTTGCATGCAATGATTGTGTATACAAGCGTAGCCCGGGCTGCCGTCCCACGTGAAAATCATGTGCTGAAAATTGACCCCAAAAAAGCCTCCCCCCCCTAAGTTTACCGTAAAAATAGCATGCTATACACCACGTGACTATAGCATTACTGCATATTATCTTGCCTCCATTTACAATATTTGAAAACAACTTTACGAATTGTAACTTCTTTTGTTTGCTTTTTTCTTTAAACTAATAGTTATATTTTATGGGAAACTTTAGGGGGCTCGTTTTTGGTCAATTTTCCAGGAATGGACATATGCAAAATAGACGCTCATGCGCATCGATCAAGACAAAGCCCATTTTCCAATAACTTTTGTCAAGAGTGCATTTACTGACGACGGCATGGCATTTGGTAAATTTTTTGTCAACTATTTTTGGTCAATTTTCAGACAGACTGACCGACTGACCACCCACCAAGTGACATGTGAAAGCTCCTGCCAGAGCTTAAAAATTCACAGATTTCCAACCATTTTGTTCAACAATTTTACTTCAGGTTTTGTAAGACACCCCTCTTGGCATGGTATGTGCCTCGCATACGTGTAGTGCTAAAAATCTCCATATTTGGAAATTGGCATGCGCGGCGTGTACTGTGGGATGTGGCACAGAATGCAGCTGTGTTTTATCTGCGGTTTGAAACCACCCACGTGACGGGCTCTCGACCAATAGCAATGGGTAAATTCTCTCAGGTATTTATGAATCAAAGTATGAACCCAAATAGTGTACTCAATGGATATTTAATTTCCTTACTGGTAATTTTATTTTTTTTGCAGCTACATCGGTCGCAAGATAATGGAAGTGGACTATGAGAAGTACGTTGACGGTTTCATGCACGTTGTCAAACCAAGCTACACATACTGGACTCTAAGCTACATGCTTACTAACAACGGAGCCAAGAAACTCTTAGCACAAGAACCTCTGGGCAAGATGTTACCGGTGGATGAATTCATACCTATCATGTTTGATGTGCATCCAGAGTAAGTGATTATTTCAATTACTTGATTTTTTATTAGTTGATGAAGCAATTAAGAGGATAAAGGTGTGATGGAGCAGTTATAAACCTGTGGCTTAAACAGTTCATGTCACGGCCGCTTGTCTTGTACAAACATATAACATGTCACAGACACCCACGTTGTGTTTCTGGAACGCACTATCCCGGAACCGGACTTTGAACACATTTTCCAATTCATGGTTTCATCATAGGCTTTGAGTGATTTCTTATTGAGCTCTTGGATTAAAACACCAGCTAAATTTATGCCCTCCTTTTAAAAAGTAAATACAGTCGACTCTCGTTAGTACAAACTCTGTTAATACAAAATTCTGGTTATAACAAACATAAAGCCTTGGTCCCGACTGTGCATTTATGTGCACAATGAATGGGACTGATGTCCCTCTTAATACAAAATTCTGATATAACAAACAATTTGGCTAGGTCCAAACGAGTTTGTTATAAGGAGACTCGACTGTAGATACATGCCCACTTTTAGATATTCAGAAATAGTTTTGCATAATGCAATTTGGTGTTGATGTTGTCAGCGATCGGTGAAACAAATGATAGACCCAAAGCCAAAGAGAGTTTCGCTTCTTATTGACTGTCAACCTAATGACTCAACTCGACTCGAGTCACTTCTTTAAAACGACTCGACTCGACTCAAGTCACACAAATCAGTGATTCGTTCTCTGCCATTCTAAAGAACATTAGACAAAACTGTTTTCAAAATGACAGACGGAGGTAATTCATTGACTGTTAACCGAAATTAATCTATACAAAAAGAGCTGTTATTAACCTGGATGTTTTAAAGATGTTTCACTTCATAGAATGTTGATCTCTATGGCAAGTCTGGTGAAATAATAAGAAGTTAATTTTCCAATTCGTGGAAAATTCGTCAGCTAGCAGTTTTCTTCGAAGTTAATTTCGCAGCTGCGCAACAAATTTATTGTGTAAGTCCATTTCATGAAATGGACTGCAGAACATTCTATCAAAGGCTAATATTGGTGTGTACTTGATTGTGCCTACAGGGATGACTGGGCGCATGCGTTTCATCCGCGGGACCTCAAGGCATACTCCGTCAATCCACTACTCGTGGAACCGACACACTACACTGGTGAAGACAATTACACCACCGACACGGAGACTAAAGACATATGGGAGTATGTCTTAGAAAGAGAAGGAGTCTCAGAAAAAGAGAAAGAAGGTAAATATTGTAACATCTCAGCCACAGATTCTGTCCTGGTTAGCATAGAGTGTGTCAAATGGTATTTGTGGGGTGCTGTGGTCCAGTGGTTACGGTGTTCGACTTGTGTGCCGTGGTACATGGGTTTGAACCCCGACAGGTAACATGGTGCTTGTGTTCTTGGGCAAGGCATTTTACTACGATTGCCTCTCTCCACCCAGGAGTATAAATGGGTACCTGTGAAGGTACAGACCATATTGCGCTGATCTCGAGCTGCTGCAGGATCTCATTCTAGATGAACAGGGATAATAATTGTGATGCGCATTTGATCATATTCTTATGGAATTTGTGCAATATAAATGTATAAATTATTATCAAATATTATTAGCTATTTGTAGTATTTTGCTGTGCACAAGTAAAAAATAAAAGACGAGACAATCTATAATATCGTTAAGAAGCAGAATATGAATGTTCACTTCACGGTACTTTTAAAACTTGCTGTTGTGTGTAATCACCACTTGAAGGAATTTTTGGGTACAAACTTTTGGTACTCAAAAGTGGCGACATTAGGGCACTAGTCGTACATGTTGTAAGTAAGTCAAGTCACACTTTATCTTTTCAAAATATTCTTCACAAGTGTGTATGCTAGGATTGCCATGTCTATAATTCTAAGGCAAACATGGGACCTGCAGCCGATTTTACAAAACTTTGCGCAATTGCGTAAATCCACTTTTGCCACAATTTATTGCGTATTGTTGCGCAACATTTCACACTGCGCAACATTTCAGTTCTGACAATTTCACGTAAGTCTCATAGTGCGTAAGTCCGCGACTTACGCAACAAATTATGGCGCAACTTGTGCAATCATTTTTGGCGCATGTTGCACGTTGTGGCGTAGCGACTGAAAATGACCCATTTCAAGTGGAGCCTTTAGTTGCACAACATATCTAGGTTAATACAAGACACCCACACCTTTAGTGTTTGAACTAAAATAATTGTTAGTTTTACTTGTGACTGAGTTTTTTTGAGTTACCCCACAATTTCGAAGAAATTCAGAGAAAACTTTTTTAAAATAGCGGTCGGGGGTGATTGAACGACTATTTCATGAACTAACAAAATCAAACACAAACAGCCGCAGATTATACTGTTATTATCCTTGTCCAAGATGTTTAGCTTATTTAGAACGTTGCGCACTGTTTCGTGAAAGCGGCTGCAGATATCTCACAATAAATCGAATACATTTTATTCGGCGTCAGTCTCTTGCTGACCGTCTGGCGTAATATTCGATGTTTGAAAACAAACAGGGTTTTCCAACTTTTTGTCTATTTTGCTAAATCTGGCCGAACGTTACCTTCAATTGTCCTGAAGGACATTCAATGCCTGAAAGCTCAGCATGACTACAGACAGGCTCTAAACTACATGGCTTAGCAAGTGGTATTTGTTTTGAAAGACAAACACTTTGACAGAAGTCAAGTTCTGGTTTTTTTCAGTGATGTTTAAATGTATACATACTTTTGGCCGGACAGGTGCGACTAAAAAGCAAAAAGGATCCAGTGACCACCCAAAGACAAGCAAAGGGCGACTGAACCCATCCGAACCAAGTGAACAATATGACGGACAACGGATGCACGGACACGGTGAGGCACTAGCTGCTGACGACGGTATAAATGGTACACATGCTGCAGAGTCAGATAAGACGCCCGACTCACAAGGTGATTCAGCCGAATCATCTAGTCCAGATGTGGGAGTGGATAGGGCTTCCTCTGAGGATATCAGCACCCATACCGAGTTATGACACCAATGAGGGGGCCATTTCAATATCCTGAGTAATAAGAAGACAGTCGTAAGGAGATAGTTTTAAACCCAGTCACATCCCTCACTTTTGAAATTAAGGGTATTGTACATGTATACCATTTGCATTGCAACCGCGGCATTTCATCGCTCAATTCCACAAGCTCAACCGTGTGAAACTTTTTACTATCACCTTGCGTCTCCGTACGCGCACGTGACGCGTAAAAACCAGGGCGGTACTATCACACACCTGGGTCGCAGCCTTAGATTTGTTCCAGTACTGTGTTATCTCTTTACCAACGACGCATGTGCTTTATGTGCGTACCGTGGAGATCACTGTACCAGTGAGGACAGTTGTGCCAGTCTATTACGGCATACATCAAAATGGCGACCAGTGGTGCTCGCTTTTAACCGAGGAGGAAGTGGGTGAAATTTTACACAATAAAAATAAATGCAGTGTTTTGCGTGAATGTTAAAGTTATTAAATGACACAAAATTAACTTTCAATTCTATCTGTCTCCTTAAATTAAAATAATGTTTCACTTTATCCAAATACTGCACGATCAAAAACATGGTGGAATGGACCAATGAAATGCCGCAGCTGCCTGATGAATATTTATGAGGTATAGTAAAACAAATACAACATGTTTTTGCGGGGAAATAGTGAAAACAAATGACCCATTTAGTTTTCACTATTTCCCGACAAACCATGTTGTATTTGTCTAATAGCAGACATCGTTGCACTGACTTGTTCAATGATACGTTCATTGGTGCTGGAAAAGTTGGGGGAAAAAATGCAGTTTGTTTTCAATTGTCATGGTGCAGCGTGATGAATCTGTGTTGCATAGAACCCATAGGTCACAAGATATGCCTCAGTGCTAGCTGTGTCATGGGAGTATTTGAAAAAACGCTATTTTTCTAGCGATGGTTCGGTCTTGACCATTGCGAAGAAATGATGGTAGTTCCTCTTTCCTTGAAAATGACAGCAAACCAGTCGCACTGAATTAGCAGGATGTTTGATACTACTGTCGAGTGCTGTGGTCCAGTGGTTACGGTGTTTGACTCATGTGCAGTGGTACGTGGGTTCGGACCCTAACAGGAACATGGTGCTTGTGTTCTTGGGCAGGATGCTTTACTACGATTGCCTCTCTCCACCCAGGAGTATAAATGGGTACCTGTGAAGGTAGAGACCAGATTGCACTGATCACGAGCTGCTGCAGAAAAATGGTGTCATTGCCTGCTGAACAGGGGTAATAATTGTGAAGCACTTTGAGACCTTTTGTATAAAGTGCTATATAAGCACCACATTATTATTAGCTTACAATCAAGTAGGCTATTTCATAATAATTTGGCAGTTTAATTTTTGAATGTTTGCAAATGGTATACAATACCTTTAACCATGGTATATGTACAAGTCCCCTTTATCTCCAAATCACCACTTCTGCTGTGTGTTCAATCAATTATAAACACTTGCACAATGAAACTGCTGCAAACTCCTTACTGACTGGATTGACCTGAAATATACAAACCAAAAAAGTTACACAGCCTGACGTTTGATCCTAAAAGGGTCCTTCTCAAAAGGTGAAAACAGATTGTTTTAATGATTAAAAGAAAGAAAAGCAGACAATGCTGTTTTAGCAATTTATAGTTCTGCAAATTGGTAGAATGGTTTGGGTAGAATAATTTTCTTTTTAACTTGGTAATATATCTTTAGGAATTGCATGAAAACGTTTTACTTGAGTTATAGTTTGGACAAACCGTTTGAGTAGACTTATGGGTAGTTGTTGGTTTATAGTGTCACAGACTCTGCAAATACATTTTGCAAAAAAGAGAGTGCTAGTACATATTTTCAATATATTTATGGATTGACTGCTATGTTTTTATTGACACATGCTGTATGTTCACTCTGTAGCAGGGTTTATATTTTTTGACCCAGGGGTGGTTCCCATCAGGGTTTATATTTTTTGACCCAGGGGTGGTTCAAATCAGGGTATATATTTTTTTGACCCAGGGGTGCGCTCCAATCGGGTATATATTTATTTGACTCGGGGTTGCATTTCAATCGGGGCTCATATTTTTTTGACCCAGGGGTGCGTTCCAATCAGGGTTTATATTTTTTGACCCAGGGGTGCGTTCCAATCAGGGTTTATATTTTTTTACCCAGGGGTGCGTTCCAATCAGGGTTTATATTTTTTGACCCAGGGGTGTGTTCCAATCAGGGTTTATATTTTTTGACCCAGGGGTGCGTTCCCATCAGGGTTTATATTTTTTGACCCAGGGGTGCGTTCCAATCAGGATTTATATTTTTTGACCCAGGGGTGCGTTGCAATCAGGGTTTATATTTTTTTGACGCAGGGGTGCGTTCCAATCGGGGTTTGTTTTTTGACCCAGGGGTGTGTTTCAATCGGGGCTCATATTTTTTTGACCCAGGGGTGCGTTGCAATCAGGGTTTATATTTTTTTGACCCAGGGGTGCGTTCCAATCGGGGTTTGTTTTTTGACCCAGGGGTGTGTTTCAATCGGGGCTCATATTTTTTTTACCCAGGGGTGCGTTCCAATCGGGGTTTATTTTTTTTTGACCCAGGGGTGCGTTTTAATCGGGTTTATATTTTTTTGACCCAAGGGGGTCTTTCCAATATGAACTTACTGCAGGTGTCGGACCAATGTGAATTAAAAAAATCCTGAAATTCTTCAACTTCCCTGAAAAACATTATTGCTCTAAATTGCAAATCTTCATTCGTCGCTACATGCCTTGGGACTTTTTATGCATTGACTGCAAAGTCTCATCTCCCCTTTTATTTATTTTTTTTTTGGGGGGGGAATCTTGGACTTTACCAACACCCCCAGCCACCCCCTTTGGTAAACCCTGGATATGCCAGGGATAGGGTAAAATAGCCAGTACATTGTGCACATTTTTAGAGATTATTCTGCTTGTACAAAGCTTCCCTTTAACTTATTTGTACCACATACAATATCACCTTGCAGCAGTGCTTCAAGTTGATCGCGAAAACATGCCCAGCTTGCAAGCATATGAGCATGCATTACTGATAGATCTAGACTCGCTTTGCCATGAGCGTTGAAGTATGAACAAAAATGTATTTAATATTCCTTCTTGCTGTGAGTATTACTCGTATAAACTTTAGTAGGGTGGGTAATAATATGAACAGACACAATCATTGGGAGGGGTGTATTGACACATTTTGGCCAATATTTCTCACTTTATTTCAATGGAACGGCATTCTAACATACATTTGAACCCTGTTTGAAGCAAGCGAGGCCAGAAATATGAGTGTGCTGCCCGAGGGTCATGGCTTCAATCCGCCTGGCTTGAGGTCCAGTGAAAAGTAATCCCAGCGTCTCAAAATACATTCTGGCGTGACCTGGTCAAGTTCCCTGAACAACGCCATCAGTCAATTTTGCAATCTTGATACACTGCTTCGAGCCTTGGTCTTTTTATGGGTTCACTCACACACACCCCCCCCCCGTTTTTTTAAGGGGGGGGGGGAGGGGTTATGGATTTACACCTCTTTGGTAAATCTTGAATCTGCCAACAAGGTTTTCAATAGAATTCTTGGAATGCACTTCGTTACCCATCCCCCTTTTGTTTTTTGTCTTGCCTCTTTTGACCCTGTTTCAATAGTGCCTTTAAATGTTTAGTATCACACATTTCCAGATTAACAATAAGCAGAAGCTGCAGTGCCATGTACAACAAGTACATGTTCATTTTTGACAGAATTTTTGATTTTCTATTCTCTGCTTTTGTGTTTTGTTTATTTAAGTAAATTAGCGGCCGGAAAGTGGTCAAATTTTTTTTCCAGTTCATGATTTGTAAAGAATATTCTCCAAGCAAATGCTGGCCTCGGTTGTCAAGAGATTGTACGGTTATTTTTTTTATTTGTAGAAGTAAAAATGAACCTTAAACAAGTAGGATACATGTACCGGTAGATACTTGCATGAATTTTGTTTTAAAATGTACATGTAGTTCGAAAAGTAATATAACGTACATTTGTACATGTATGACATGTATTTCCTGCATTGGATAACAAGGTGCTATTTAAGAAACAGTCTTGCCTTCAATAATTGTGATAGATATTTTCAAAATCAAATAAAATTCTGTAGATCAGAAAATCCAGGCTTCCGAGTGAGATTCCCTGTACAGGATACATATAAAACGTACCCCTATATATAACTATGAAGGTCTGCTTTTGCAGTCGGCTGCAAGTTTCAGTTTGTATTGTTACGGGTAATGTACAACATTTGCTGTTGCTGTAATTTCAGAAATGGGGTAAGTATATTATGGCAAGTATTCGTTCCACTGACCAGATGCTTGAAAAAGATGTATTTGAAAAAGGCTGTTTTTCCAAACATGGTTCGGCCAAACCATCGTTGGAAAATGATAAAAAAAAATTCCACTCTTATTGAAAATGACAGCACACCAGGTGCCATGATTTCGCAGGATGCTTGAGACTATTATTCACTTACAGTCAAGTAAGGTATTTCATAATAATTTGATAATTTTTTTGTTTATGTTTGCAAATGTTGTACATTAGGCCTACGTTTGATAAAGCAATCCTTTCAAAACATAATTTGTTTCACATTTAACATTAGCTACCCCATGCCAAGATCAACTTCATGACTTAACATACAACACTGTATACCCCTGATTGTTTATTGCATTTTTAACCGGACAGAGCTCAAACAGCCATTATGAAAAATATGTGTACTTGTAACACCCCCCCCCCCCCCATAAAACAACCCACCCATCTAAAGACCAATTCAAGCTATCACTGTACATTCACGGAGGCTCTCTTCAATGGCAACAGCATTTTGCCAGCTGCAGCACAAAGCGACTACTGCGCGACAGATTATCTGAACAATGTGCTCTGTGCACAAGTACCCCCTCAACGGTAAGAAAGGGAGAGTTGGGGGAGACCACTGGGAGAGACATTTGAACGCATTGCTGATGACGCCTGATGCTCACGCGAAGACGCTATGGCTTCACGCACATTCAGAATAAAATACTTTGCCGTACTTTGCACTATAGTACGCGCGCAAACCAGTACGCGCATGCGGTGTCCTGTCCACTGGGATCTCGAAAGTGGTAAAAAAGCGCCCTCTCTGTTCGCGCACGGAGCCCATAGCTGGTCTATTGACCAATCCAAGGTCGCTATCACTGTACATTCATGGAGGATCTCTTCAATGGTAAAGTCAGTTGGCTAGTTATTGTACAAAGCAACTGCCCCATGATAATTATCTGAACAATATCTGATCTATACCTCAATGTTATGTACACAAGCCAAACAGAGGTTTCACTAGTGAATCTGCCAAATCGCCTCAATGCAATTTTTGGATAAACAATACATGTCATGCGATGCTTGTCCAAACGATGGCCAGCTTACAGCATCCTGTGGGTTTGTGGATCGAAACATTCTTGCCACACATTTCTTTGTTTGCGCAAGCTGTCCAATCAGCCTGTTGTAGCAGGTGTCTACATTGCAACGTTCTCCAGATGAATGTCTCACTGCCTGCAGCCCTCATGGTAAGGAAGCAATGTTCTGAAATCGTGCCAGGTAGGAGGCAGATTATCTTGCAGAAACTGACCACAGTGCCGACAAGGTGAACAAAATAACTTCTGGTAGCTGTGCAGCCACTTCTAGAAAAGCGGAAAAAAAAGTTTCCAAAATTTTTTGTTCAATTTATGATTGATTTAAAAAAATATATATATAGATTTTTCAACTTTTCTCACATGTTCAGGTACCTCAAGCTAAAATTAAGGCTCTGGAACGTAAATAATGCTGAAGCCCTCTCCTCCCTACTATAGCTGAATAGCCCCCCCCTCCCCACGTTTAGCTCCTCTACCTACAAACAGCGCCACCAAGTGTCAGATAGTGTACAGTCTCGTCCGCACTGAGCAGTGCCCCAAATAATCATTTATTTGATTATTTAAAACTGCACATCACTAAATATTCGAAACTCGCCGAGCAAGTTTTACCCATGACAGCTGCAAATGTGTGCCGAGCTCGTCAAAAGTTGCGTGCAACTTGTGTCGGTTAAAATTTGCGTGTTGAGTGGCGATCGATATTATGGGCCCCTGGAGTGTTTTGCTGTGAAAGTATTTTATAATTGTCAAGGGCTGTCAAGCCAGCCTTATGTGGGCAGGGAGCTCTCGACTGTTTGAAACAGTCACTTGATTTATTTTGACTGCTGGGCTGGCTTTGTTGAAGTTGCTAGCCAGAGAGGGAGGGAAGGAATTAGTGAAAATGTTAATACACTTGAGTCCACAGCTGAAGACACTGTGTTCAAACTGATGATTGGATATCCCTTCAATAATTTCAAAGCTGGAAAGTGTCAACTTGGTTACACTTACCATGAATGAAAAGAAGCACATATCTGGTCTGAGTGGTTGGTAATGCAGCATGGCGGATGTAGCATGATCTGTTATCTGTGCAATGATCAAATGTGATGGTGTTCAGTCAAAACCAGATGCTTCTGGACAGAGCTTGAATAGAGACATGTAAACCCCCCCCAAAAAAACTTCAAACAAACAAACAAAACAAACCAACAGTTTTTTTTAAAACTGTCTCAACATTCTGTAAAAGTTATATAACGTAATTTTGCCTCGAAAGGTTATTTTCTTTGGATGATTTGCAGAATAGGCATAATTGATGAGGAAGGTTTGTTAAAAACATGAGAGCATGAAAAATTGCCTGAAAAACAATGGACTCCTCGATGATCAGCACCCGATTTCACGAAGCGCTGCGACACATCGCAACTCGAGTTACGACGTGTAACACGTCGCAACTCGCGATGCATCGTATCATCCATTTCACGAAAGTTGCGATGTGTTGAACGCGTCGTAAGTTCCTTGACAACGGCTTAAAACATGTCGCAAATTACGATGTGTCTAGTGGTCATTGCAAAATAAGAGGAGTCCCTTTCTTAGCCAGTTTAATGCCATAAACATTATATAAACACGATTATAATACCGAGGCAATGTGTGTAAAGTTGTAAATAGAAAATTCATTGAATAATTATGAATTAGACTGGAATATTGCAGTTGAAATTTCAAAGTAGCTATACAGTCCACTGAGAGCTTGTTTTCCTTCAAAATTGCATCGCACGACCGCCATTTTGTTTTACGTTTTAACAAATTTCGAGCTGAGATCTGATGACTCTTTGTTGAATATCAGACGACTATTTACTGTACGCTGACTAAATACATAAAACAGTCACCGAGTTGTGCTATGAATACACATACGACGCGTCGCAAGTACGACGTGTTTTGTGAAATGGATCGCAGGACGCGTCGCAGCTTGCGACGCATCTTAGAGATACGACGCGTCGCAGCGCTGCGATGCATATAGTAAGTTACGAAGAGTTTGATAAAATCGGGTGCAGGACAGACAAAGAAAGAAAACAAGCCTTACCAAAACATTTGCATTGCATACACAGGCCTATAGTGGCAAGTGGTTTACAAAGGTTTTAAAGGGAATAAACAACATTTGCAAACATCAAAAACAAAACTACCAAATTTTTACGAAATACTTAACTAGGATGTTGGTAAATGACCCTCTAAAGCATCCTGTAAAATTATGGCTTCTGGTGTGAAGTCATTTTCAAGAAAAGTGGTATTTTTGTATAAATTTCCAACGGTGGTCGGCCAACCACCGTTGAAAAAACCTAACCATTTTTCAACTACTGCTTCAAATTTACCATTTTTTTCAGTCCAAATTTGGTTTACTATATATTTGTTACATGTTCATGAACGGGTGCAGTCCAGCTGGACTGGTTCCCTTACCTTACAATTTTCCGGCGTCTATAAATTGATCCCTTCATCTTTAGTGGAGTCAGGGAACCAGACTACTTGAACAATTTTGTTTTTCTTGGTTTTTCCAGCATTTTGGAACACAAAACTTCAAACATGTCAGTGTAACAATTAATATTTTGATCTATTATCACCCCTCAAATAGTTCATTTCTGAAAATTACAGCAAAAACCAATGATGTATATTCCCTTTAATACAGGGTGAGTCTAGAAGAAAGTGACCAGGATTAATGATTTTTTTGGTAAAAAACAATCAAATTTGATATACGCCAATGAAGTATGTCTTAAACATGCTAAAAGAACATTTTCTTCCACTCATCTAAAACAAAAAAGAATTACTGAAATTGACCAATGCAATCAAAAGCTAGGCATATTTTACTAAAAGAAACTTTTGTATAGCTGTCCATGGAATGTCATTGGAAGCTATTGAGCTGAGTGAGAATTACATATATTACATACATGCATTTAAATAGAAATGAGATTTTAATCATTTCAGTCAAGACTGAAACATTATTTTTACTGTCAGATTTTGTGTTTTGAATATGAGAAACAAGTAAACTCTTATATTTCTGAAATACCGATGGCAATTTTTGTCTGTTTTCCTTTTCAACTTTTCGTTTATTAATGGAAATGGGAAAACCTCCATGTTTCATTGTATTAAATATTATTTAAAAAAGAAACAGCTTGGGAATAGAGTAGGCAAATTACATGAAATTTTCAGTTACCAGTCAATTACATGTACCATTATCCCCATGTTATTTTTATGACAAGGAGCAAGCCGCATATTTTTGAAAATAATTGTTTCTAATTCGGTCACTTTCTTTTTGACTCACCTTGTAGAACCCCCCCAAAACCAACCAACAAACAAACAAACAAACAAACACCCCAGAACCCCCCAAAACCACCCCAAAACCAACAAAAACAAAAACCAAGTTCATGTAGCTCTTACCTTTTGGAAGACTTTATATTTTGATGGGGTCCATATGTCAACCTGAAACCAAATTCATTTGAGAAATTAGTCGAAGACAAAGATCTTCATAATAAATAAGATCTATGATTAAGAGGTTATGATTTGCTATTCATAATGTCGTGGGTGCATTCCATGATTGTGAATGTGCCCTTAACTGTGTTAAGGAGTGCACCCACAATAAACACAAAATCATAAATGTCAGATAACTGGGGCAGAAAAAAAGAGGACCCCAATTTGAATGATCTATTCTTTTCATGTAGATTAATTAATGACTGATAACAAAAAGTCTGGTCACAAGTCAATCACAAGCCCTTTCAAAAGCAACAAAAGATAAACAATAACACAGGAATGCCTTTGTCATAGTTCATTTGAGTAGCTTGTGAATTGACTTGGGACTGGAGGACTTTTGATGGACTTGTGCGGACTTGTGATGGACTTGTGGGGAAATTATGATGGACTTGTGATGGACTTGAAATGGACTTGTGATTGACTTGTGAAGGACTTGTGGGGACTTGTGATGGACTTGTGGGGACTTGTGATGGACTTGTGGGGACTTGTGATGGACTTGTGGGGACTTCTGATGGACTTGCGGGGACTTGTTATGGACTTGTGATGGACTTCTGAGGACTTGTGAATGACTTGTAGGGACTTGTGAATGACTTGTAGGGACTTGTGATGGACTTGTGGGGACTTGTGAATGACTTGTGATGGACTTGCGAGGACTTGTGAATGACTTGTAGGGACTTGTGAATGACTTGTAGGGACTTGTGAAGGACTTGTGGGGACTTGTGATTGACCTGTGGGGACCTGTGATTGACTATGGGGACTTGTTGGGACTTGTGAGGACTTGTGAAGGACTTGTGATTGACCTGTGAAAGACTTGTGATGGACTTGTGGGGACTTGTGATGGACTTGTGAGGACTTGTGAAGGACTTGTGGGGAATTATGATGGACTTGTCGGGACTTGTGATGGACTTGTGGGGACCTGTCATGGACTTGTGATGGACTTGTGATGGATTGTGAGGACTTGTGAAGGACTTCTGATGGAATTGTGAGGACTTGTGATGGACCTGTGAAGGACTTGTGGGGAATTATGATGGACTTGTGGGGACTTGTGATAGACTTGTGGGGACCTGTCATGGACTTGTGATGGATTGTGAGGACTTGTGAAGGACTTGTGGGGACTTCTGGGGACTTCTGATGGAATTTGCGAGGACTAGTGATGGACTTGTGGGGACTTGAGAAGACTTGTGATGGTCTGGACTACAAACTGCTGTCTGCGAAGTAAACACTTTGTTGAGGTGATATTTGTGCTTGCAGTTGATGTACAAGAGAAATCCATAATCAAACTACCATTCTTTCGTCCATGTAGATGTTTTCATGTTGCCCTCGTATGACGACTCTCTCGATCAGAAGCCGTTGCAATCCTACAATCGCATAAAATGTTCTTCCCAGTGTAACCTGAAAATCAAACAAAACTTTCTGCAATAAATAATTTCTGCAATAAATCTGCAATAAATAAACTCGGCTGCTGGAATTTTATCTACCATTTAAAAATTCTTGACTGCGCTGTGATGTGGGATATGGTGTTTTATACATCCGAGGGGCACATAGCACCCCAGGAGATGCCTGCCCCTCAAAAGATAAAGTTTTAATTTACTTTTCAAGACATAAATGTGATTACTGTGAGCTTTCCTGCCAGAGACAAGTCTGAGAGGTTGCACTTTATAACAATAACGGGTACTAATATAGCGATTTTAACTAAGATCAAAAACGCTTTACATTACATTATTATTACCCCTCATCATTGGGCCAATGAAACATTCCAAATACAATCTCAGCTCCCTGGGGAGTATTCAACATTTTGGCGCAAAGCAGCAGCAATCAATCACAATAACCATCTCTGCCCTCACTGGTACCCATTTACTCCTGGGTGGGGAGTAGCAATGAGTGACAAAGTGCCTTGCCCAAGGGCACATGCACCACAACCCCAGGCTGGAATTGATCCCATAACCTACAGAATAATCCGCGGACCACAAGTTCTATGCTCCAGACCACGAGGCTATCGCAATCCATTTTTCTGTTTCCAGGACCGCAGGACCGACACACCCACCCTCCACTTGTGACTGTCAATATGTAAACATGTAAATTTTCTGTTTGTCTTTGTTATTTCACTGACCTGATAGACATTGGGCATATTTGGAACTTTGGTGATGACCATGGCATCCATGAACTGACGATTCAAACTAGACACCAGTTGATCCACTGCCCTTCACAAAAAAAACAACAAAATGAAATACAATCATCCAGGACTGATAGTAGTTGATAGACACATGGACCCATTGATGATCAAGAGCCCTGCGTTAGAACTCTCATGTACATGTACATCTTTTCCAAAATTGTCCAGAAAAACCTATACTACTCCCAATTTACGAAATTTAATTTAGTCCACATTTTTTATGCAATTGGTTACACATCCATGAACGGGTGCAAGCCAGCGCGTCTGGTTTCCAGACCTGACAATTCCCCGACGTCTGTAAACTGCTCTGCTTTGGGCTTGAAGTAGGGTCAGGTAACCAGACTACAAGAACAGCATTTTCTTCTTGATTTTTCTAGCATCTCTGAACACAAAATGTGATTAAAAGTTGTTCTATCTTGTAAAAATGATCACAATACTGTCAACTCTCTTGTTAAATACAAATTGTAGTTATAGCACAAACACAAACCTTGGTCCCACCTTTGCTTTTATGTGTACAGTGTATAGGACCGGTGTAGTGTGAATATCCGACTCCATGAAATATGGACTTATTGGTAGTATTGCGCATGCGTAAGAATGATAATAGCCTATAAATTGGCCTGTTTATAGGAGAGTGACCTGTCACTTGCGAGGGATTAACCAATAATAGGGAAAAAGGGGTCTGATTTTCATAGAGTCAGATTTTCATACGACACCGGCACTGCAATAGCACAAAATTCTGATATAACAAACAATTTGGCTAGGTCCAGCTGAATTTGTATACAAATGAGAGTCAACTGTATAGAGTAACATAAAATTTGTTCGGAACATATTTTTTAGAGAATAAAATTGTTACTTCTTGGAATTACTTCCTCAGATGGAATCAGGATTCGGATTTCGACCTGGAATCACCCATGCCTACAGCATATTGCTCAATCAATCCTGCCTCAACTGCTAACATTCCTTTATTCTAAGTACACAAAATCTCCATCTTCCATATTAGGCGATTAAAAATAATTACTATAAAAGTCTCAAACAATATCATTTTCCGATAAGGTTGTGTCCTTTTAAAGTTTACCATTAAAAGGCATATAGGATCATTTGCTTTTCGTGCATTATGTTCGTTTCCAATAGTAACACCACTCCAAATCCAAAGAAGAAAGTTCAAAACCTAACCTGTTGAAATTTCCGCATGGTGGATATTACACTTTTTGGGAAAAAAAGTGGAAAATCACTTTGAAATTATGAAGCATGATTCTTCAATAAGACTTTTCATCTCCAATGAGTCAAATCACCTACATTTTATTGTTTTATATCTTCTAAATGACAGCAAGCCAGATGGAATAATATCTCAGGGTGTTTAGTACCAATACGATCTTTAATCCAAGTAATATTAATTTGGTAGGTTATTTTTGGGATAAATACAAATGATCCTAAATGGCAAACTGAAGTTCTCTCTTACTTTTAAAACCACCACAATATTAAAATTGCATGACTTTTCTTTACACTCATGTCAAGATCAATCTTACTGTAGGCTGTAAGCCAACAGGCTCGGCTGCAGCTTGCGCTTCTTGCCAAGAATGCTTGTGGATCGTCTCATCGTATGATAGTTCAGCAGGGAAGAGGCATGGCTTGAATGCTCCTTTAGCTGTACAAATGAGAAAAAATAATTGTGAATAAAACTATAACAGTACAAGCATGTTTTGCATGAAAAATATGTGGCAAGGTCTTTCAAAGTCATAATGAAGTGTTCAAAGGCTTCTTTACAGTTGATGTTATTGTTCATCCAGACAGAGATTTTATTTTGGCTATTTAACGCCTGGGCTATTGTCTCAGTTATATATTTTTCAATTCTGGGGGAGAAATGTACACAAAAATACAAATTGAAAAATCCACCAACTTCAAACGTAATTTTCTCAAAACTCGGTTTTGCATCTGTGTGCACAAATGCGTCACTTCGTCAAAACGGTGATGATGTATGTGCAACTAAATTGTGTAACTGTTAGGGAAAAAAGCTTTATGCAGAAAGAAACTGAACTACGGGATTAGAAATAACCTTCTATTTACCTTTGTCCACCATTTGTATGATTGCAGGACTTGTTGATACATGGGTGTCTTGTCGAGCACTGGATCCAAACTCAGGAAACCTGTCACTCCCAAACTGCTGCCCTGGCTTCCTTTGACAATGTTGCTGGTAAGCTTTTCAAGATCGCTGTATATTTTGAAACAGAACAGACTTTCATCAAATTAGGTTTTGCCCTTCACTGACGTTTAAACACAGTGTGTTACCTCCCGAGTGAAAGTTGGAAAAAATCACTCGGGTGGGACTGGAACCCACGACCTCCTGCTTTCTAGTGCAGATGTCTTACCACTCGACCACCGAGCTAACAGGATCGGTTGGCTGGTTCGAATCTGATGTACACAGCAGCGGGTACCGCATAAACTATTATAAGATGGAATTTGCGTCGGGGTGATACAAATCAAATTTTTGCCTATACTATCGTTTACGAGAAAAACTAGGGTACAACTATAGAATGCAGGGCCACTTTACTCTACATCCGCGCCTCCGTACGGCTGCGTGGAGGCGTGGAACCGCAGTCGACCTACCTCCGAAAATCGATCGTGGAGCCGCAGAGAATTGCGCCCTCTATCGGTGCGCGTCTCTGCGACTCCGCGCCTCCGCCACTAAACTGCACTCCAGTGCCCCGCGTCTCCGCGATTCTGCGACTCCAAGACTCCACCCTCCGCCACTCCAGACAGTGCCCCGTCGCCCTCCTCCCTTCCTAATTTGCGAGCCCATTTAAAATGGATACGGATGCTTCGTTTCAAAAACATTCCGCTGAGAATTGCGCCCTCTATCGGCGCGAGTCTCTGCGACTCCGCGACTCTGCGCCGCGCCTCCGCCACTCCAGTGCCCCGCGTCTCCGCGACTAGATTCTGCGACTCCCAGACTCCGCGCCTCCGCCACTCCAGACAGTGCCCCGTCGCCCTCCTCCCTTCCTTATTTGCGCGCCCATTTAAAATGGATATGGATGCTCGTTCTCAAAAAAATTCCGCCGAGAATTGCGCCCTCTATCGGCGCGAGTCTCTGCGACTCCGCGCCTCCGGCCGCCACTCCAGTGCCCCGCGTCTCCGCGATTCTGCGACTCCGCGCCTCCGCCACTCCAGACAGTGCCCCCAACACATTTACAAGCACGCCCTCCCTTCCGATCCTTCATGAGAAGCTTAGAAGACAAGTGCAGTGCATTCCTTCGCTGTACTTAGCACTTTTTTGCAGGTTTGCATATCTATTACTCCTATTCCATCCACGCCTCCAGGCAAAATAAAAAACCTTGCTTCGGCGTGGCCCTGCATTCTATAGTTGCTCCAAAACTAGCTCCAGCCCTAATAGACAACCCAATGATAAAACTCAGGGCTGGGTAACTCTAGCCCCATAAATGTGGCCTATTTACTGGACTGCCTCCGTAAACATAGGCCACACGTCCACATGTACAAAAATCGTGTCGACTTTGCCAAATTTTGATTTTCACATTTAGGCTTAGTTTGTAGGATTTTTTGGCTTTAGAAGCATACTCACCCACTTTATAGGCTAGTTAGAAAGTGCTGCTTTTTTCAGATGTCTAATTTTTGTGAAATTTCATGTTGAAATTTTGATACGCAAACGTGTAAAAATGAATCTGGAAATTTCACGAAAAATATTAATACATCTGAAAAAGGCAGCACTTTCTGATTAGCCTATAAAGAGGGTGAGTATGCTTCTAAAGCCAAAAAATCCTACAAACTAAGCCTAAATGTGAAAATCAAAATTTGGCAAAGTCGACACGATTTTTGTACATGTGGACGTGTGGCCTATGTTTACGGAGGCAGTCCAGTAAATAGGCCACATTTATGGGGCTAGTAGGTAACTCAGCTATTTATTATCATTCATGCCCTACCTGAAACAGTCGTTCACACTGCACAAATTATGGTGAAGTTGAGTGACAAAATGCTTGACTTTCCCATCAACATTGGCCTCATCCTCTGTACTAGTTTTAACCCCGTCATGTAAGGAAGAGAAAGTTTTGTTCACATTTTCCCTCAGCTTCTGCACCGCGAAGATGGCAAGCATGAGCATTTTCGTGTTGTCAGTGTCGGCAGCCATTTTTTCATTCCCAAAAAGTACGGCGCACATTACCGCCCTCTCGTGACAAAGACTAGAATCTGATGTCATTATTCGTCGCGCGATCTCTGCTCTTTATCTTCTGAAGCCAGCGCCTGATCGTTAAAGTTGTCTATCTGTGCTCTTCAACATGCTGGGGAAAAAAATAACGTTTAATTATAATCTATTTTCAGGGTGACACTCAAATAGCACGGGAGCATCTGGAACAAATGCCATTGTGGGATGTACTAGAGGTTGTGGGTGCAACTTACAGAAATGGTTGTTAAGAAAGCCCGGGACGGGGGGTGATGTGGGGCTGCATGCGGCACCCATAACTTTTGGGATGGGGGTGCTGGAATGTACTTAGACACCCCCTACTCCCTGGCAAAATGAGTCCAGCCAGTGTTCTAGCCAGGTATTGAAAGGAGTGTTTGCCCGTTGAACCAGTCCACTGCATTGGCGCACCCAGGATTTGGTTGGAGGCGGGCTCTCGTTTTTTTTCAATTTTTTTAGAAGATAAACTTTTGTTGCAAATTTTTGGCCGCGGAAAAAAATGACAATGTCAGTGTATTATAAAGCATAAACAGGACTTCCCGTGGGAAAAAGGCTTTGGGCTTTCTAATGACTCCTATAGACATTTCTTGAAATAATAGAACAAAAATAGTTTCTGATTTTGTCTAAACCATCGATAGTCGGTCCTGTCTCTCAAGGTGAATGTACAGTTTGTTTCATGGTGACCGTTTTAGCCGATTTTCGGCTAACTTTGACAGAATTTTTGTTAAAAAACGAGTTTGACAAAAAATTTGACAGAATGGAGTTTTTGTCAGATTTCTGGCAGAACTATTCAAAAATGGTTATTTGACAGAAAACAGCGAATTTGAACAAAAAAGTGTCCACGGTTTAAAAAGCTTCAATCCTTTCAAAAATTGAAACCCTTGCATAATGGGACAGGTTGGCTGGTCTAGGTGCTGATCGAGGTTCACTGGGAAACGGGCTTCGTCGTGGCCGGATCCGCGTTTTGCCCGAAATTTACCAATAATTTCACAACATCTTTATGTGACTAGATTGTTTATTTTGTAATTTGAATCTTCAATTAAGGCATTACTACCAATCTGCACGTGATTTTAAGTGTTTATAGTGTATTTCGAGCATGGAGGGAGGTTCCTTTTTCCATAATTTCGAGTAATTCTGGGGAATTTGGCAGATTTGTGATAAATCTAACATATTTTTGATGCGCATTTAGCAGAATTTGGCTCCGACCTTACGGTCACCCTGGTTTGTTCACCCGATCAAACTACCAACCGTATAGCAGTTTGGAAAACATATGAGTACAATCTAAGAACGGACATTATATTAATTTAGTGCCTTATAATGACCTAAAGTTCCGCGCCATATTTCAAAGGAAGTGAACTTTCGGCATGTTCTGTGTAACCGTGAAATAACCCAGTTGGCTCGGCGCGATTAAGAAGGGTGCATATTCCATTATCCTCTGAAATATACTACCGAAAAGTAGAAACTACTTCTGACAAACATTGTAGAGGCGTCGATGGTTTATTATATTATTAAAGTACGTACTACAGGCATCAAGGAATATGTGGGATTTTTTTTAATGTGCGCCACAACTATAGAAACCCTTGGGCCGATTTCAATGAGTGCACGTTCCAGTAAATTTAGCCAACACCACTAATGACTTTTGGACTAATTCCAATGGCACCGAATTTTTTAAAAGTTATATATAGCAGCTTTATGACACTTGCCTGTGGATTTGACTGTGAGTGAATTCGCAGACAAAATACTAATATAAGTAACCCTCCCTCCCCTTCAATGTCGGTTGCTACACTGCCAGCTAGCATTGGTCCTAATCCAAACAACATTAATCCGTGGGACTTGAAAGTATTGACTGCAAAAGAGTGAGACAGGACAAACCATCTTTAAAAGTACAGACTCCTTGATGACTTTGTAACTTCCAGAACTCCTTGACTTTGTAACATCGAGAAATAAAAGAGCGCCCCTTTTTTTCTAAAGAATGTTCTAATCTTAGAACTCTTCATTACATACTTATGCCACGATGCCGTCAGTGGTGGTTATAGGGGGGGGGGGGGGGGGGCTGGGGGAGGGCTTTAGCCATTAAAATTTTGTCTAGCCTCCCCCCAAAAAATCCATTAAAAAATTGCATTAGCAAAAAAAGAAGGAATGTGACGTGCGAACGGTCTCCACCTAAAGAAAATGTCGTGACAAGGGTGCATTTGTAGTTAATATACTGTGGCTGATTGTATGATTTTATTGACGCTCCCCATCCGCCCTGCTAGCCCCCCCCCCAAGGGCGGATCCAGAACACTATTTTTTTTGGGGGGGGGCCAATAAATTTTTTGGTCACCCAAAAAAGTGGGTCAAAAAAATTACGGGATTCTAGATGCTCTGTGGTGCGGTCTGAGGCAATTTCTGACCACTTTAACCAATTTTTTTTGAGGAAAAGATGGTGGTGTACTCATTGCCTGCCTTTATTGCGATGTCACAAAAAAAAATTATTGGTTTCGTTTTTGGGGGGCCATGGCCCCCTTTGCCACCCCCCCTGGATCCGCCCTTGCCCCCCCCCCAATATTGGCTCTACAACCGCGCCTGGATGCCGTTTTAAAAAACAGTCGTCAAATGTTATGATATGGCAGAAAATAAATTGCCTTCGTTTTCTTTTCGTTGTTTCCTCTCTTTTCAAGTCACGGGTTTTGCCCCCTGTCCCTACAGCACCATTCGAAGGGTGGGCGCAGGGGCGGGGGGGGGGGGGTTCATATCTTCAGGAAGTCCCCGTCCTCCTAAGATGGACCGCAGGTGGGCGAATTCACTCAGTTTTGAAAGGACACCTTTTGGGGCCAGGTGGGCTGGGCGGGGATATAAAGTACAATCAGAGGTGGGGCAAGCCTGCAAGGGGGCATTAGGTAGTCAACCGAACTATACGAACACCACTAGGACGAACATTCGGCTATAACGAACATCCCCTAAGGCACAATCACTATAACGAACAAACACTACAACGAACGTTTCTTATGGACCACATCGTGTTTGTTACAATGGCATTCTATACTGAGGGTTCGGAATTCAAAGTCATTCTGTGCCCATTAATGTAGAATGTAAAATCACGCTAAACGAATAGAGACATGAAAAGCAGATAAGCTGAATAACCTTTGAACGGACAGTAAAGTCAAAGATCAAGCATTGCATCTAATGTATGCATGGGCTAATTAATAAAAGGGATTTACACAGTTTAGATGTAGCAATATCATAACATATAACATTTTTATTTAGTCATTTCTTTCATTAAACGCCTTCCGCTTGAGTTTGTCAAAGTATAGTATGTCCCTATGATTAATGACCATTTGGTGAAAAGTGTCAAATTTGTTAAGGAAGAGAAAACTGGAGGATGATTAATTGTGTTTAATTGATAGGACATTTCTGATAAAAAAAAGCATCTCTAAAAATAACTTTGCTGATCGCTTGGTATCAGCTCCATATCTGTGTACTTTCTTTACATTTTTTTGGTAAATAATTTGCTTGACAGGCGTAGTGATCTTCAAAAAGCCGATGCTTTCCACCACGGTGGAATACAGACTTCACAATGCAGCTGGCTATTTTAACTTGTGGTAAATATAAATCCATGTCATTAGATATACTTCGCACGTTATTCATTCAAACAAATTACGCAAACTATCCAAGCGGCTTTCTATCCTACAAACAGCACTTTTATGTCAATATAATCTCATAAAGCATTAAAAACAAGGCCGACTACATTCACACTTGTAAGCTTAATAAAAGACTATTACAAGTATATGAAGTGATTTCCAACTTCAGTGTCCGACTGTAAAGTTGCATTTCATGTTTTGTCCACGGTGTCAAGTTAATGTAAGCCCATCTAAGGACAGGGACGTTTATCGAGAACAAGTTCGTGTAATCTTTTCAAATTCATCTTTGCCAGTCAAAAAAATGTGATACAGGGGCATACAATTGCATACGTTTGAAACAGTGGTTTCAGTGTATTGTCAAATGTTACGGTATGCACTGCATCACAGGATGTTAAAGCCCCTGTCACACTTTCGCGTATCCTAATTCCTTATGAGTTCTAGACTTGACTCAAGTCGGATTTGCCTTAAGTCGGTATCTTTAAAAAAAAAAAAAAAGTAGTAAAAATCACTTTGTTTATTTCTTTCCAGATGCCCGACAAGGTACACTTATACCATGCAACATATGGGACCAAAAAAATTGGACTGGTACGTGTGTAGTTACATACACTCTACATAAAAACTAGAATAAAGCGCTCTCATCAGACAAAAAAAAATGCTGCACAAAATACCCATGTCTACGTAATACCCGTTGCCTATAATTCAAGAAAAAAGTCTACAGGCATCTACCCTGTACAGAAAAGGTCTACATGCATCTACCCTGTACAGAAAAAGTCTACAGGCATCTACACTGTACAGAAAAAGTCTACACACATCTACACTGTACAGAAAAAGTCTACAGACATCTACACTGTACAGAAAAAGTCTACACGCATCTACACTGTACAGAGAAAGTCTACACACATCTACACTGTACAGAAAAAGTCTACACGCATCTACACAGTACAGAAAAAGTCTACACACATCTACACTGTACAAAGAAGTCTACACGCATCTACACTGTACAGAAAAAGTCTACAGACATCTACACTGTACAGAAAAAGTCTACACGCATCTACACTGTACAGAAAAAGTCTACACACATCTACACTGTACAAAAAAGTCTACAGGCATCTACCCTGTACAGAAAAAGTCTACACGCATCTACACTGTACAGAAAAAGTCTACAGACATCTTCACTGTACAAAAAAAGTCTACACACATCTACACTGTATAGAAAAAGTCTACACACATCTACACTGTACAGAAAAAGTCTACACGCATCTACACTGTACAGAAAAAGTCTACACACATCTACACTGTACAGAAAAAGTCTACACGCATCTACACTGTACTGAAAAAAGTCTACAGACATCTACACTGTACAGAAAAA